TTGTCGTCCGGTGCGTCTGTATATCTTTCTGACAACCAAGTACCGCTTGGAGTTAATGCCACTGTTTATTGAACGAACCTTTGTTCTCTGCAGCTACTTTACTGGTCACACTACGAATGCAGATGGAACCCCACAATTTGTTGGCGGGAAGACAAAATTTGATCACGTGCTAGATGATCTTGTTAAAATTATCACTGTTGCAGTAAGTGTTTCTTAGAAAAAATCAGTTAATACCGTCGTCAGCTTCTTATACGTATCTCTAGCCATTCAGCTTAACCTGTCAAATATTGTAGGTGACAATTGTTGTAGTAGCAGTGCCTGAAGGGCTTCCTTTGGCTGTTACCTTGACGTAAGTCTACTGTCTATTTTATACATAAATATTGTAATGATAGCAATTGCTTTGGCCTCTAGAATTGGAAAAGATTTAGTTATGACATGGTTGGACTTAATAGTACATGATGGATATGCTATAAAATTCAGTAGAACAAGGTTGTCTCTCGTCACTGATCTTTTCTACTTCTTACTGGCAGTCTTGCGTATTCCATGAGAAAAATGATGGCAGATAAAGCTTTGGTATGTATGTTTTACTTTTTGGGACTCAATTAGTTTGCACTAAAATAGATACATAAATGATATAGTGAATATTATTCGCAGCTAAAACAAAGTTTAACTTCAGGTGCGTAGGCTTTCCGCCTGTGAGACTATGGGCTCTGCAACAACAATTTGCAGTGATAAGACAGGAACTTTGACCTTGAACGAGGTGAAGTTTAGTGCTCTTCCTTCTTTTTAATATATTAACACACAAATAGTTGGCAATGTATAGGCTCAGCCTTTAAGTTACAGTTTTGGTACGTGCTTTCCTAGCTGCGAGCTTTTGCTATTTTGAATTGTGTGCCCAACAAGCAAGTCCCCTAATACTCTCTTTTCTCAGATGACCGTGGTTGAGTGTTATGCTGGTTTCCTAAAGATGGATCCTCCGGACAGCAGCTCAAAATTGCCACCTGCTTTTACATCCATACTTCTTGAGGGAATTGCTCATAATACAACTGGCAGTGTGTTCCGATCTGAAGTAGGATGGCAATTATACTGATTCCATTTGGTTCCTATTTTCAGCGATTTAATTTACTAATGTATATGGGCTTGCTGATAACAGAGTGGTGAGATTCAGGTTTCTGGATCGCCGACTGAAAGAGCAATTCTCAATTGGGCTATAAAGGTATATTTTCCAGCTACATTTTTCTAGTTCCTGTTTCTTTTTCAGTGAGGAGAAATAATAATTTTTGTTTTTTAAGCTCTGCAGTTAGGCATGAATTTCGATTCCCTTAGGTCTGCGTCATCTGCTGTTCAATTTGTTCCATTCAACTCAGAGCAGAAACGTGGTGGCGTAGCAGTGAAATCGGTAATGTGTTTCCATTTTCTCAGCATCATTTGCTTGGTTTTTGATTCGCCGTTTGTGGTTGTTTTCCCCTAGTCAATCAGCATCCTAATGACTTTTTGTTCAATTTCAGCCAGATTCGACTGTCCATGTTTACTGGAAAGGCGCTGCAGAGATTGTTTTGGGTTCCTGCACACACTATATGGATGAGAACGAGAGTCTTGTAGATATGAGTGGAGATAAGGTTGGCAACTGTATTCTCTTCATCATGATATGATTTGTTGTAAAATTTTAACTTATCATTGTGTCTTGATTCAAGACCGTTCTCTTACTGAAAGTCCAAGTCGCAATTACTTTTTCTATTTGTTTTTCGTTTACGCTATTTAACCTTTGTATCCCAAATCAGTGCCAGAGTTGGTATTGAGAGTTTTAATATAAATACTTGTTTTATCTTCTGAATAAAATCTTCTTGTTTCAGATGGCAGAGTTAAAAAATGCTATCAATGATATGGCTGCAAGGAGTCTCCGTTGTGTTGCAATTGCCTTCAGATCATTTGAAGCGGAAAAGATTCCTACTGATGATGAGCAACTTTCTAGATGGGCATTACCTGATGATGATCTTGTACTGTTGGCTATTGTTGGTATTAAGGTAAACACTACTTTTGCTAGTTTTCTTTACCTTTTAAAGAGTCTTGTGATGTACCTTGATTTGATTCTGTAAACCAAAATGGTTGGTAGTACTAGTAAGGTATGCATTACTTATTGCAAGTTCTTTTATCTGCAATACATAGGACCCATGTCGCCCAGGTGTAAAAAATTCAGTTCTATTGTGTCAACAAGCTGGAGTCAAGGTCCGTAGATATCTCATTTACTTCTTTCCCTCATTCCCTGAGAGTCTCTCTTCATATTTTGTTTATTTTCTAGACTGATCTGTTCGTCATGGGCGTTAGTCTTCTTATTTCCACTATTGGCCTCAGGTTCGAATGGTGACTGGTGATAACATTCAAACTGCCAAAGCAATTGCACTGGAGTGCGGTATATTAGCTTCAGACGCAGATGCTAGTGAGCCTAATCTGATCGAAGGAAAAGTATTCCGATCCTATTCAGAAGAAGAAAGAGATAGGATTTCTGAAGACATATCTGTAAGAGTCTTATGATTTAGGTTTTGATTGGTTGAAGGCAGTTATTTAATGGTACCTGACATTGTTGCTAACCTTGAAGGTAATGGGTAGATCATCACCGAATGACAAACTTCTTCTTGTGCAATCGCTGAAGAGAAGGGGACACGTCGTGGCTGTGACTGGTGATGGAACCAATGATGCTCCTGCACTGCATGAGGTTCAATATATTTACGTAGACCTTGTATGTGCAATCTTTAAAGAACATTATTAATATTGAGGAACAAACTTTCTGTTTTGTCCCTTGATTTCAGGCAGATATAGGTCTCGCTATGGGTATCCAAGGCACTGAAGTTGCAAAGGAAAAGTCAGACATCATTATCTTGGATGACAACTTTGAATCTGTTGTCAAGGTTGGTATTCTTAGAAACCAAGGGATTCATTTTTCTTATAAAATAGGGTTCCTGTTGATACTCTTTTGTTGCATGATACTTTTTGGAATTTGTTAACTCAACTTGTTTTTTTCATTAAAGTGTTATCCTTTGGCGGGTTTGATGATCTTTATAATTACCTTGAATTGGATATTCATTTCTGTTACTATCTGATTCTTCTAGGTTGTCCGTTGGGGTCGATCTGTGTATGCCAATATTCAAAAGTTCATCCAGTTTCAACTCACGGTTAATGTAGCAGCTCTTGTCATCAATGTCGTGGCTGCCATTTCGTCGGGTGATGTTCCTCTAACTGCAGTACAGGTTTGATATAATAAACCAATTCTATCCCTTTCTCTTCTGGACAGAATTGTTCACTTAAAAATGAATATTCCATGTTGATAAGAGTCTTCTCCCATAATTATTGTAGCTCCTCTGGGTCAATCTTATAATGGATACTCTTGGGGCTCTTGCTTTAGCCACCGAACCACCAACCGATCACTTAATGGATCGAACCCCTGTTGGCAGAAGGTACCACTTCTTATTAGACTTCAGCTAGTCTTGTTCAACTTCAGAGTGATCTCAATTTATCTTCCACTTTCTTAATAAAATTGTATTTATCTATTGTTTTCAGAGAACCTCTCATCACAAATATCATGTGGAGAAACTTGTTTATACAAGTAAGTTTTCTTCGTTTTCTTTCCCTTACACGTTTCTTAAGATCACGACCTTTTAGCCTTCTCTGATGCTCCAATTGTTTTGCATACTATTAGGCGATGTACCAAGTGACGGTCTTGTTAATCCTCAATTTCCGGGGAATCAGTATCCTTCATCTCAAGGAAAAACAGGATCCCGAGAGAGTAAAGAATACAGTCATCTTCAATGCCTTTGTCATTTGCCAGGTAAAAGATACCGACTCTTCTGTGTTGAGAAAAAGCTTTTGTGCAGATCAGAAAACAAACTGCTTCTGAATTTGTTAGATCTTCAATGAGTTCAACGCACGGAAGCCAGATGAAATAAACATTTTCCAAGGAGTACTCGGTAATCACCTCTTTGTGGGCATCATCTGTATCACCATTGTGCTCCAGGTACTGATTCTCTCTCTCTCTCCTGTTCTTGCACAGTCACTTCCTTTTTTTTTGTACATCTGAGACAGAGACATATCGTTTATTGCATGTTGTTTACTGTTTAATATAGGTAGTCATCGTCGAGTTCCTTGGAACATTTGCCTCAACGATTAAGCTTGATTGGGAGATGTGGCTCATCTCGATTGGAATCGGTTCCATCAGGTTTGGCGTTAATTTTGTCTTATAAATTCGGTTTGAGTTTAAACATTTTAGGTTGGTTCAGTTCGGTTTATTTTGTCCACCCTAGACTATTGGTAGATGCTTATTTCGTAAACTCACCATATAGATTCTGTTTTGTGTTCTATAAAACCAGTTGGCCATTGGCGGTGATCGGAAAATGCATACCGGTTCCAGAAACTCCGGTCAGCCAATACTTTAGAATAAACCGGTGGAGAAGGAACTCATCAGGTAACTAAAGTTATCTTTCCGCTATAGTCAAGCCATCTCAAACCAAACGCATCTAAAAAGCTATGATCGTTACTAACGCTTTGAAATTTCTGTTGATTTTCAGGTTAATTATTAGTTTGAAAAGAGAAAACAGTTAAATACCACAAGTGCTTTCCCATCTGTGAATACTACATTTCCGCTCTCTAAGTACTTTATCGGCTTCTTCGTTTTAAATACATCAATCAAATGAAAAAAAAATATAATATTTTGTTTAGTTGCCTTAAATGTCCATAGTCTAGATAATCCATGTGAAAAAGAAAACAGTCTAGCTAATATGAAATTTCAGTTCTGAATGCTCAATCAAAACTTAAACCAGCACAATCCAAAATTCGAATTACAACAACAAAACCAATTTGATGATTTTGGATTCAAATAGAATTCAAGATTATTTTGATTTTATCAACCAACGATACAACTAGCTTAGTTTACGCATGTGGATCTTTGTTATTTTGTAATTACACAAAGAGGCTTCATTTTTATGCTTGGTTAAGAGAGAGTAGAGCTGTGCAGAATACTCACATAAACACATATATATACATAAGAAAAAAACATGTACATATAATTACAAGTAGGTATCCACAGACTACTGTTTCATAGCTTTGAGATTCTGATGTAGCAAACAATGGAAGTGGTGCATTGGTTTCTCCACAAGAGCATATCTTCCTTTGTCATAGGCCGGTGATTCGAGACCCCTTTGAACACTCTCACACAACGCAACATCTTCCATCTGATTCACCAAATTTACACATTCCACAAACTCAACTCTCTTTAAAAAAAAGGCAGTATTTATCAGGTATAACAAAATCATTCATTTTCGTACCTGAACTCTCTCGCTTTCTTCTAGACTTCTCTCGATGAAGGCTTCATCATCCTAAGGCCAAAAGAAGTTTTACAAAAGTTGCTATACAGGACCGGGGCTATACAATCCAAGACATGTTGTTGCTTTGTTTTACCTTTAAAGAAGGATCAAGAAAATAGTCGAAGACAACTTTGCATTTCCTTGGACCTAAAGGTATCACTAGATTTGTGTCCATCCAAGGTCCGTACCTTTTTTAGAGATAATCCATGGAGAATCAGTCGACTCAATTCATTGGAAGATGAATTAAAACTAGCTGAGCAATGGACTTGATGTCTGTTACCTATTTATCATGAAATTTGGGTAGACGAAAGCGTATAGAGCTTGAGATCCAAGCCTATCGAAGCCGTCTTTTTCACCAGCCTTGGAACCACCTCCACATTCTTGGATACTAACCCTCTCGAATATCTGATATCTTAAAATAGAAAGTTCATCACAAGAAGAGCCTAACTAGAGATTAGATTCATGTGTTGAAAGTCAGATTTTTGGCCGTATTTCCAATTGAGTAAAAGGATCATACCGTTGTAGAATAGGTTTCGAGATCGAGGCCAGACATCAAACCTTTATGTGCATAAGGTACATGATAGCCACCATCTAGGTAGTTATCACAGAACACCTGCATAGTTCCCAGTGATCCATCATTAATCTTCAAAGTTCTGTGTTTTGTTTTTAAAAGAGAATATAATCAGATCAAGAATTACCTTCCAATTACAATCAATGGTGTATTCACGTCTGCAGATGAAAGTAAGCGAAGAATCAACTCCACCTTGGCTCAACTTCCCCACACAGGTCCCGAGCCATTCTGATGCCACTAACCCATCACTCTCAACTTCTCCCTTCCTTGATGTGGCTTGGGCCACCTTCATGAGAACAAAAGGTCCCCATACAGCCACTCGTAGAGGTTTGAGTCCCATTTCCTATTTTCATCAAACATGTCAAGTGCGAGAAATTCAGATTCTCTCTTCTTTTATAAAGTGAGATAACCACACGCTTATCGCAACAACATGCCATACATGTAAAGCAAAGCTCTGTATCCCAGTCATTCTATTAGCTTTGACAAGTGATCCGCTCAAGCTATACGTCCATCCCTGCCACAAAGAATGAGATAGTATGACTCAAAACTCTAACTTATCCCTGCCAAAAGATCATTTGAGGCTTTGAGCTACGATATGGTGGAGCTTACATGATAAGGGCACACAAAGCAAGACTTTTTCCCGTTTCCAGAAGCCAAGATAGAGGCATGGTGAGAGCAAACATTGTGGAAAGCATGAACCTTTCCATTATCATCTCTACACACAACAAATTCTACCTCCCCAAGCCTGCACCAATGATGTTTCAAATTCTCATATATGGTTGAACAAAACATGGAAAAGGAGAGACTTTTTCGCAATTCTTATAAGCAAATTATATAATGAATTACCTTCCGGTGAAAAAGTCGCGATTCTCCTTAATCTGATCAGAGTATCCTAACATATCATCAACAAGCAATGGGGAAAGTAAGAACATTTTTAGAGAAACATTCAACACTCAAGAACTCACTGAAACAACAACACTCAGTGAGTGTGACATTTCCCGAACCTACGGCTTGCCATGCTCCATAGAAGACACGATCGAGCTCGAAACGGTAGAATTGAGGATCAGTGTACCACGAGCTCGGCGGAGTCGATGCTCTCTCCAACGGAATCTCCGGATCAAACTCCGCCACGAGCTTACTGATTTCGGAAACGGCGAAGACTATGCTCGAAGAGCTCGGATCTCGGGTCGGGTAGAGAAATCTTCTCCGGCGAAATTGAGAGACTGAAACGCCGAATTCACGATGAGAACTGAGATATTTACTGGTGGGATTCGATCTCGGTGTCGGAAACTCCCACACCGTCGCCGTGATCGTGACCATCTCCGGCTGCTCTTTTTCATCCCGATGGTCGTTAAATTTCGGACTCTTTAAATACTTGTCAAAACAAAAAACTAACTCGACCGGTCCGGTCCGGTCAGGTCCGGCCAGATTGGTTTTACCGCGATTTGAAACTGTTAATCCAATTTTTTGTGAAGTCTGTTACGATTAATAGTTGAAAATAACGGAAACAAAGCTGCTTATGAAACGAAATAAAAAATATTACTGATTCGAACGGTGGTAATTAGATTAAAATGTTTTTCTTGTGGTTACTTATGAGTGATTTGCGGGTAGCTGACTTTTTTTGGGATTAAGAAAAAACTCGGCGACGCATAACTCTCTCACTCTCTCTCCTTAATTAGCTAATCACCTTTCTTGATCACCCTTTTTATGTCATTAATAATCTCAAATAATTAAATTTCCGAAAAGTATTCATTCCCTTAAAATTCCACCAAAGTTTCTCCTCCATACATTTCCAAAGCCTCTTTGTGTATATATATTAGACACACATGTGTTGCCATTATAAGCAGAAGAATCTTACTCTCATTCCACATCAAATCTCTATTCTTCATCTTCTTCCTCTAGAAGAAAGTCATAACAAAAGCCATAAACAAACATATAAACGATGATATGCAAAGAGGCATATCAGTATCAACAATCACATGGACAAAATGATCACATGATGACAATGATGATGATGGACTTGAGCCAATCACCACTATCATCACCATCATCATCACCAAAGTCACCAATATCAGACAATATTAACAATAATGAGGAAGAGAGACTCGAGGTTGTCAATTTGAGTGGCATGGCATTACAATCTCTCCCAAATCCTTCCCTCAATTTGGCAAATATTTGCAAGCTTGATCTCTCCAACAATCATATCAAGGTTAATAATTTCTATATACATACACATCCATAAAAATATTGGTTTCTAACCTTTGTTTTGTTTTGTTTGTGAATGGTAACAGAAAATACCAGAATCTCTAACAGCTAGATTACTGAACTTGGTAGCATTAGATATTCACTCAAACCAGATAAAAGCTCTTCCAAACTCCATTGGTTGTCTCTCTAAGCTCAAGATCCTTAATGTCTCCGGAAACTTTCTCGTTTCCCTCCCCAAAACTATCCAAAATTGCAGGTTAACCCCTCAAAGATTCACAACAAAACTCTCAATTCTGAACCAAACCAATCATATATGTATGATGATTTGATTCTTCTGTTTTCTTTTGCTTTTGGATTTTCCCAGGTCACTCGAAGAACTAAATGCAAACTTCAACGAACTGATTAGATTACCAGACTCAATAGGGCTAGAACTAACCAATCTGAGGAAGCTCTGTGTCAACTCGAACAAGCTCATAAGCCTACCAAGCTCAATCACCTACCTCACTTCCCTCCATGTCCTTGATGCTCGTCTCAATTGCCTTATGATCCTCCCTGAAGACCTCGAGAACCTCATCAACCTCGAGATCCTCAATGTAAGTCAGAACTTCCAGTATCTCACTGCACTCCCATCTTCTATCGGTCTTCTCATGAACCTCCTCGAGCTGGATATCAGCTACAACAAGATCACAGTGTTGCCTGAGTCCATTGGATGCATGAGACGGTTGAGGAAGCTGAGCGCGGAAGGAAACCCGTTCGTGTCCCCACCCATTGAGGTTGTGGAGCAGAGCTTGCATGCGGTGAGAGAGTATCTGAGCCAGAAGATGAATGGTAGGCTGGTGAACACCGTGACAAAGAAGAAGTCATGGGGATTCCGTAAGTTGGTTAAGTATGGAACGTTTAATGGCAGGTCAAGGGCTTGGACCAGGGAAGAGAGCGAAGGACTCATCATGCCTGAGTACCGTCCCATTGATATCCTAGCTTCGACTAGGTTTCCTGCGATGTGCTCACCTAGGCGTATCTTTTCTCCAAGAACCTATTTCAGCAGATAATGATAATGCAAGACAGTAAAGACATTTCAAACTATCAACCATTTACTTAAGCCAGTCAAATGTATAAAGAGTTTGTATATATACAGCGTTCAGATTTCGAACTTCTTATTGTAAATCATGTATTTAAAATTGCAAATAACAGTCTTTCCTTTTATAATTTCCATGCCCTTCTTGATACTTTCAGAGTTTCAGACATTTGTGAAAGTTCAAAGATTTACTTGTAAGAGCAACAAAACAACACCGTCAGTTTCAAGAAGATTTATTATTCTCAGCTTTTTTTTTTTTTGACAGATATATCTAAGGCTTCCAAATGAAGTCTTACTATTGGCTCTTGTAGAACTCAAACAATCACACTCTCTTATCAAATCGTCTAAAAGAATCATGCGTAGTTCATCAGATCAATACCTGAAGCTATGCACAATCCAGCAAACCCAGCTTAAAAAATCTCGACTTTATTGGTAGTGTTATTATGTAATTGTTGTAGAAAACTTCACAGTATCATTTTCAACGCAGGTTTAAAGCTAATCGATGAGAATGATAAATCAAACGCGGATATAGATTTCTAAACATCATCGTCTCAAGATGCTAACATCCAAAGCTAAAATTCCCATTATCAAACAAAATCAGAACCAAGTAGAATCTGGTTACAGTGAGCACATAAGCTTAGAAACACACAAAAAAAGGCACATCTTTTCCAGTGATCGATCCAACTACAGAACCAAGTGAAAGTTGATCTAAACTCTAATGGAGATAACCAGGGATCTTGATCCGGATAAAGAGCATACTCATGACATAAGCGATCACAATGGAGGAGATTCCAGCTGTAGCATAGGATGCTTTGACGCTCTTAGCTCGATTCTTATCAAGTGCCAGATCCAGCATTATGATCCCGATCCCACCGAGCACGAACATGAATCCCGACGAAAGACCTTCAATGATGTACTGCCCATTAACCCGACCCGACATGAACACGACGGGCCTTATCGACCCGGTGATTGGGTCCTGGGTCGACCCGATACCTGGAGGCTCGACAATCACATCGTAGACGAAGCCGGAGACGACCAAGAAGTAGGTGAGGAGAATCAGAGCGAATACGGTCATCGGCGACGGGAGCGTGAACGAAGGGAGCTTGAGACGGAGACGCGGTGGCCGGAGGAAGGAGAAAGGGATGATACGGAGAATGTGGAAGATCGGATCGATCGACGATTCAACAGACGTGTCTGACATGGCGGAGCCGGTGGCTAGGGTTTGCGAATCGGATCTCGGAGCCATTTTCTTCGGATCGTCAGAATAAGCTTCTCCGCTCTCTTACTATCCTTGGGAGGAAGACGAGTATAAGAAGTTTGGCTTGTTTGGAAACTCAGATATTGTTATCCGATAAACGGATATTAATCTCCTTTTTGTAATTTTTCCCTTTCGCACGTTCTGCCATTTTGGAGAAGAAATGAATTGAAACGACGCGTAGTTTTTATCTAGAAAGTAGATCCGAGAGGGAAAACAAACAGCAGACTATTCGTCTTCTTCATCACAAGCTTTCGTAAGTCGTAACTCTTAAAAGACCTAAAAGCAAACAGTTTGATTACATTTCTCGAGCTATTTTCGCGGCAAAATTTACGAGATTTGGAAGGGAATAGTTTGTTTCTGGGTAGAAGCGAAACGGAGATGAGCAAGAGACCGCCGCCTGATCCGGTGGCTGTGCTTAGAGGACACCGTCACTCTGTTATGGACGTTTCGTTCCATCCATCAAAATCTCTGCTTTTCACTGGGTAAATCAATCTTCCTTCACTTGTAATAAATTCGGAATCTTCCATCATTTTTATGTTAATTTGGTGCAAATTGAAGATTTTTTCTCCAGTTCAGCTGATGGAGAGTTGAGGATTTGGGATACCATTCAGCATCGTGCAGTTTCTTCTGCGTGGTTTGTGATTTTGATTTTAAAATTCCTTTCTTTTTTGTTTTGATAATGAAGTAGCATTCATTCATTGTTTCGTTTTGGATTTTGTAGGGCTCATAGTAGAGCAAATGGGGTTTTAGCTGTAGCAGCTAGTCCGAGGTTAGGAGAAAACAAGATTATCAGGTAAACATAAGCAATCATGCGCTTCATAAATCAATCTATTTCCAGAAAATTTGAACCACTTTACTGTCATGGTTATAGCCAGGGCAGAGATGGAACTGTCAAGTGTTGGGATATTGAAGATGGTGGTCTATCAAGGTGGATATGATTTTCCCTTTTTTCAAATGTTTATGCATTCGTTGCTATCTAAACTATAACCACTGATTCTCGTGACATGCTTGGCAGGGATCCATTACTTGTACTCAATACAAGCGCCTATCATTTTTGCAAGTTCTCTCTTGTTAAGAAGCCTAAGACTTCTTTCGAAGAAGCTCAAGGTCGCTCCAAGAATTGCGATGAGCAGGCTTATGGAGACACGCGTAATGTTCAATGTACAGATGATAGTGAGGGATCTGTGGGGGATTCTGCTGCGCTTCAGGGTATGTTTTACTTGAGTTGTCTAATTTTTTTTTTTGTTCTGCTCATGGTTTCGGACTGGATTGATTCAGTGCAATATTTCAAAGTTAAAAATGTAAGATCATAAATATTTTCTCAAGGTTACATTGTCAATAACAGATGAAGATCATGCTGAAGGTACCACTTATGTAGCAGTAGCAGGGGAGCAACCTAACGAGGTAACTAGAAACCCATATGATTCTTTCTTTTGGACCAAAACCTACAGTTTGGTTTTCAGTTTTGAATTTGATTTATACGTAAAGGTAGAGATATGGGATTTCAATAGCGGAGACAAGGTCATACAGCTTCCGCAAGCTAGCCCTGACGAATCCCCCAGTGCTTCTACCAGAGAAAGAGGTAAGCTCCTACTGTTTTCTCTATGAGATCCTTCATATGCACATTTCTTGTTAACCTTGTTTTTTTTTACTTACATCAGTAAAATTGTGTCAGCTAAAAAGAGCTTCATCAATTCATTCACCTTTGAACTTTGCTTGTAATACTCTCACCTGATGATATGTTGGATCATCTGCAGGAATGTGTATGGCTGTTCAATTATATTGCCCTCCTGAATCGCAGGGTTTCTTAAATGTCTTGGCTGGGTATGCTTTCTTTCCGAAGCTTTTTTCCATCAATCGAGAGAGATAAAACCCTGGATTTGCAATGCTTTCTTTATATTATGGGTGGTTAATTCCAAACTTGTGTAGTTATGAGGATGGTTCCATGCTGCTTTGGGATACACGCAATGCTAAGATTCCTCTAACAAGTGTTAGGTTTCACTCAGAGCCAGGTCTTATTCCCATCCTCTCTATTCAATTTTTTTTTGTCTTATACTTTGTTCATGCTCTTTGAAATTCCCGCATTACTTATTTTGTCTTCTTTATGCAGTTTTAAGTCTTTGCGTTGCATCATCATGTGATGGAGGAATCTCAGGAGGAGCAGATGATAAGATTGTGATGTATAATCTCAACCATTCAACTGTAAGGAGAGGATGCACTTGTGTGATCGCTGTATAGTTATAGTTTGTCTGATGCTGAATTCTATAACTTTTTCCTTTTCTTTCAAATAGGGTTCTTGTACCTTGAGGAAAGAGATTATATTGGATAGGCCAGGCGTATCGGGCACCTCAATTCGACCCGATGGGAAAGTTGCAGCCACGGCTGGTTGGGACCACAGGTTAACATTCGTTTCTTTTAGTTCTAAACTCTGTTTGATGATCTGCTTCATGTTTTTCCAATGTAAATAAAGAAAGTAAAGATTCATTTAGTCTCACATGTTATACAGTGGAAATAGCTTTGCTCTTAAACTCACCTTTTGTAAATAAAACTGTTGATGCATATGATATTGTTCTTGTCCTTTCCATCGATATTTTGACTAGTTTTAACCAATACATGTTTGTTACATATTTGGAAAACAGAGTAAGGGTGTACAATTACCGAAAAGGAAATGCACTAGCGATACTTAAGTACCACCGAACAACGGTATGTGAATATTTCTCAACCTTTTACTAGCTGGAGACAAATTGCTTTTTTCTTGAATTTTTGTATTTTTATGCTTTCATGTGTTTGTTTGCAGTGCAACGCCGTGTCCTACTCTCCAGACTGTGAGCTAATGGCATCTGCGTCTGAGGATTCAACTGTTGCTCTCTGGAAACTCTATCCTCCTCACAAATCTCTCTGATCTATATGTTTCGGTTTGGTTCGATTTCTTGACATGAGTCTCTTGAATTTGTAAATATGCTATGTCATCATCAAAAGAAGAAATGAATATTAGAGAGGTGTGACCGAGTTGTATTTAAGCACCTTGTTTTCTACATTTTCACATTAGAATTCTCTTTTGGGTTCCCCTGAAGATAGACTCGCACGTACTGTCGTTTTCTGAGAGGAAAAAAAACAATGAAAACGACGAGTAGTTTCCATCTAAATAATAAATCCGGCACGATACTGTACGTTGAGTAGATTTCACGACAAATGAAATTACACCAAACTATACATCCGTCTCCGTCACAAGAGAGACTCTCAATAACTTCTGAAGACTAAAAGCGAACAGTTTGATTTCATTTCGCGAGCTTCGAATATTCCGCTTTTCACGCTGATTTCGACGTCATTCTGGTTTCTTCTAGATCGGTGCCCATTGATCTCGATCCGGAGCTGTGTAAATGGCGTACGTCGACCATGCGTTCTCGATATCGGACGAGGACATCATGATTGAGACTTCATACACCGTCAATAACCGACCGCCGGTGAAGGAGATCGCACTCGCGGTGGCTCTCCTCGTGTTCGGAACCCTGGGAATTGTCTCCGGCTTCTTCATGGCGTACAATCGAGTTGGCGGTGATCGAGGCCACGGTGCGATTTCTTGTCTTTGTTGCTAATTTTTTTTTAATCTAGTCTAGGTTGTAGAAATTGGAAATGGACCTTTTTATACTTGTGTTCCTCTTATTATGTAAGGTTTAGTAGTTGTTAACAAGAACGTAGTTTGGTAGATTTGGAAAGAAATGATCGATTTCAGCTAGATTGTTTTAGGAAATATTTAGATTTGAGGAATCTATACCAGAATCTAGGTGATTAAGATGATAGAGAGATTGCAAGTGTGTAATTTAGTTTCGGTTTTGGCCTTCTGCTCTCTGTTTTCTAGATAAGATTTGGATGAATACAGAAAGCTTTGCCAAAGGCATGCGATTTGATTTCATTCTGAGATTCGGAAGAACTTGTATTGTATATGATTTATTCTAAGCTTCTCTATAATAGAGCGAAAAATCATAAAAGTTCATACATTTCAGTCTGGAATGATTTTCCAAATTGAGAAATTCTTATATCAACCTTGTTAAAAACCTGTGCTTGTAAACAACATGAGTAATTTGCTCTTCTCTGGCTTATAACTCTACAAGGTCATTGATGCTTTTGACGCATCTCCAACTCATTGATGCTCTGCAAAGTATCTGCATCATACTAAACGTGATTTGATTTTTTTTTTTCTCATTATTGCATCAAAATTCTGACATTCCTAGTTTGCCATATGTGATATGGGCATGAGCTCAGGTAATGATGGATTCATTCTCTGTTTGATTTTTTCCCTTTTAATGGTGAAACACAGGGATTTTCTTCATCGTCCTCGGGTGTCTTCTGTTCATCCCGGGGTTTTACTATACGCGGATCGCATATTACGCTTACAAAGGATACAAAGGTTTCTCATTCTCAAACATACCGCCAGTTTAGTCCTTTTTTTTTAATCTCTCCTACTCAGTGTATAGAGATGTTTTATTGCCTTAAAGCAATTACCGGCTTGTTTACTCTTTAGTGTAGTTTTACAGGAGTTGAGTCCATACTTAATAGTTAACATATATAAATATCCCTTCTTGCTTCTAGTTTTCTTGTTAAATAATTGTGAGTCTGTGAATTGTCCGGATTTAATATTTACATTTCTATCTATCTATACACCCGGTTCAGAAAGAGAGTTGTTTGTAAAAGATTTCCAAATTCGAACCAAGTAATATGGGATACTTAGAGTATTCGCATGTTGATCTCAAGTGTAAAATCAGATGCAGCTTGGTTTTGGGAACTAATTTCTCCATCCTAAACTGGACATTGGGAGTGATCTATTTCTAACTAATTTCACCATCCAAATTTAAATCCGAATAATGCATATTATATTGTGAATAAAAACGCTATATTTAGATGTGATATATCAAGGGCTGCGTTGGGTGGTTGGAGATGGCCGTACGATTAACTTTTGGACAGATAAATGGCTATTTGAGCGACCGTTGCAAGAGATACTAGTAGCACCATTGCCGTATGGGTTTGAGAGGGTGAAGGCTCGGGACTTGTGGATCGAAGGGAGGGGATGGGATTTGACCAGAATTATGCCGTTTCTTGACCCAGAAAAGAGTCTAGACTTAGCATCGGTTGTCTTGGATACGATGTCGGGGGCTAGAGACCGGATGTCGTGGGGAGAGACGGCGGATGGAAAGTTCACGGTGGCATCGGCATATGCTTTGTTAACTCGTGATGCAGGCCCGAGACAAGATATGGAAGCGTTTTATAAGAGAGTGTGGAGGGTAATGGCACCGGAAAGAGTTAGAGTCTTTCTTTGGCTAGCTGGTAATCAAGCGATTATGACGAATCAAGAGCGGTATAGGAGACACTTGGCTGATACGGAAGTTTGCCCGGTGTGTAAGGGAGGTGTGGAATCTATCTTACATATTCTCCGTGATTGTCCGGCGATGGAAGGAATATGGAATCGTCTGGTTCCGGCTAGGAAAAGAGGAGCTTTTTTCACAAAGTCTTTACTTGAATGGATGTTTGCGAATTTAGGAGATGGTGAGGTTATTATGGGAGTTCCGTGGGCCACTATGTTCTCGATAGCAGCTTGGTGGGGTTGGAAATGGAGGTGTGGAAATATTTTTGGGGAAAATCGAAGGTGTAGAGATCGAGTTCGTTTTATTAAGGAGGCGTCGAAAGAGGTTGCAGATGCGAATGAGGAGTTAGCAATAAACCAAGGGCGGGGCATGATGGTGGCTCGGATGATCAAATGGGTAGCTCCGGAGATGGGTTGGATTAAGTTGAATACTGATGGCGCTTCGAGAGGGAATCCGGGTCTTGCGACTGCGGGTGGCGTGTTACGGGATTGGCAAGGAGGATGGTGTGGCGGATTTGCTCTTAATATTGGGAGATGTTCGGCACCGCTAGCAGAGTTATGGGGTGTCTATTATGGGCTTGTGATCGCGTGGGAACGGAAGTACACGAGAGTAAAGCTCGAAGTAGATTCTGGTGGTACGTTTTCTTACGACAGGGATTTGTGAATCGCATCCCCTGTCATTCCTAGTACGTTTGTGCTATAGCTTTCTATCGAGGAGCTGGATAGTTCGGGTGGTTTATGTGTATAAGGAGGCTAATCGTCTTACTACCGACGGATTAGCTAACTATGCTTTTTCTTTACCTTTAGGTTTTCATGCTTTGTTTTTAGCTCCTTTAGAGGTGGAATTGATTTCAAGAGAGGATGTTGTTGGACATTCTCAATTGAGACAAATTCGTATGTAATGGTTTTTTGATTTATTAGTAAAATTCGGGAGAGAAATCTCCCGATCATTCACCAAAAAAAAAACGCTATTTTTAGGAATTGGGAGTGAACTATTTCTAACTTTATATGTTTCACCTTTTCTTCTTAAGCATATTGTATGTACTTTATTAACCAGAAAAAAACAAACGTGACAGATATAAAAAAGAAATCTGGATATTTGAAATGGTTGATGGGGCCAAGAATCTCTACGTCCATCTGTTAGATGTTTTTGTTGTCTTTTGTTGACGCCGTCCATATGTTAGATTTTTTGTTGTTGACGGTGTCCTATCTGTTTAGAGATACCTAAATGCTTAAACCTTATGCCCGGTTCTACAACATTTCCGGTTTAATATTTTAATCACATTAATACTGTAATCTGAATTTAGTCATCTCTTTCTCTCTCCCCCGTGTCCCCTCAAAATCCTCAGCCGCATCTCACTTCTCTTTCTATCTCTAAAAATGGCTTCCTCTTCTCTCTTCAATGCCTCTGTTTCTTCCCTCAACCCTAAACATGACCCCATCCGCCGCCGCCACCACTCTACCGCTCTCCTCCGCCACCGTCCCGTCGTCGTCTCCTGTACCTCCTCCGCGAAAACCGCAGATGGAAACAACAACACCACTCCAATCGAGACTGTCGTCAAGCCTCGCCGTACCGAGGATAACATTCGTGATGAGGCTCGTCGCCATCGTTCCACCGCCGTGAATCCTTTCTCAGCCAGGTATGTTCCTTTCAACGCGGCGCCTGGATCCACCGAGCACTACTCTCTCGACGAGATCGTTTACCGCAGCCGCTCCGGTGGCCTGCTCGATGTCGAGCACGATATGGAGGCTTTGAAGCGATTCGACGGTGCGTACTGGCGAGATCTCTTCGATTCGCGAGTCGGTAAAAGCACTTGGCCGTATGGGTCCGGTGTATGGTCGAAGAAGGAGTGGGTTCTTCCCGAGATCGATGACGACGACATCGTCTCTGCCTTCGAAGGAAACTCGAATCTGTTCTGGGCGGAGAGGTTTGGCAAAAAGTTTCTCGGAATGAATGATCTGTGGGTGAAACACTGTGGGATTAGCCATACCGGAAGTTTCAAGGATCTCGGAATGACAGTTTTGGTCAGCCAAGTTAACCGCCTGAGAAAGATGGAACGACCTGTGGTCGGCGTCGGATGTGCTTCCACCGGAGACACATCCGCTGCTCTCTCTGCTTACTGCGCCGCCGCTGGAATCCCATCGATCGTCTTCTTGCCGGCGAACAAGATCTCAATGGCTCAGCTGGTTCAGCCGATTGCTAACGGTGCGTTTGTTCTGAGCATTGACACTGATTTCGATGGGTGCATGAAGCTGATTAGAGAGATAACATCGGAATTGCCGATTTACTTGGCCAATTCGTTGAATAGTCTGAGGTTAGAAGGGCAGAAAACTGCAGCTATAGAGATTCTGCAGCAGTTTGATTGGCAAGTTCCAGATTGGGTGATTGTTCCTGGAGGCAATCTCGGAAACATTTACGCCTTTTACAAAGGATTCAAGATGTGTCAAGAACTGGGTCTCGTCGATAGGATCCCGAGGATGGTCTGTGCACAAGCAGCCAATGCTAATCCTCTTTACTTGCACTACAAGTCTGGTTGGAAGGACTTCAAGCCCATGACCGCAAGTACCACTTTTGCCTCTGCGATTCAGATCGGTGACCCTGTCTCCATCGATAGAGCTGTGTACGCTCTCAAGAAGTGCAACGGGATTGTTGAAGAAGCCACGGAGGAGGAGCTTATGGACGCGATGGCTCAAGCTGATTCGACCGGAATGTTTATCTGTCCACATACAGGTGTGGCATTAACCGCTCTGTTCAAGCTGAGGAACCAAGGAGTGATTGCACCGACTGATAGAACCGTGGTTGTGAGTACTGCTCATGGGTTGAAGTTTACTCAGTCTAAGATAGATTATCACTCCAAGGCCATCCCTGACATGGCTTGCAGATTCTCCAATCCTCCTGTTGAAGTCAAAGCAGATTTCGGAGCTGTCATGGATGTTCTTAAGAGTTACTTAGGAAGTCAGACACTTAGGTCATGAGAAACAGACCATTTTCTTTTCTTTTTTGAAAACTTTTAGACGGTTGTTTGTGTACTCTTCAATGCTCCTCTCTCTGTGATCTTTACGTTTCTCGGTTTTTCCAATAAGGTGTAACGCAAAGTTTGAACCATTTTTTTTCTCTTTTTTAATGTGAGCGTTTATATAAAAGTCACCAGTCAAAAATCTTGTAGCCACAAAAACCTGTTGCAAATTACATTGTTACAACTAGTGTATACATAGAATCCTCGAAATCTAGAGCGTCTTGGAGAATGCATAAAATAAAATAAAAATTAGAGGTTTTTCATGAGTAATCATAGAGCGATACACTCTTGTCATCAGAGACACTAGCGAGCCTACCAGCTCGGACACCAGTTCCACCAGGTGGTCTAAACGCTACAGACCAAACCTGGTCATTGTGATTGCTCATTGTCTGAATGGCCGCTCTCATTTTAAGATCCCAAAGCCTCACAGTTCTATCGCTTGAGCCCGTCGCTATAGCTCCACCGTCTGGGCTAGCATCGACGCTTAGCACCCAGCTCGTGTGCCCTGACATGGACCCCAGCAACGTTTTCCCTTCTGCGTCGTGCATGTTCACATGCCCATCATCTGATCCAGAGAAGAGGATTCTCGGGTCTACAGGGGAGAACACAAGTGACCTTACAGGCATGTTGTGACCTTCTAGCTGGTGAAGAAGCTTTGAGCGTTCAACATCAAAGACACAGATCGTGCCATCCATTGAACCACAAGCAAGCCGTTTCCCATTAGGAGACCATGCCACTGAGAGAACGAATTTCTTGCTGCTAGTTTTATCAGAAGGTTTTGGTGCTTCTGGACGTGGGATTGATAGTGTTGAGACTAATCTCCAGCTTGCAGTGTCCCAAAGCTTGACCGAGGCACTACTTCCACCTGCAACAGCAAGGATTGTACCCTTGGAACACGTAAATAGATCTGTTAGCACTTCGCAGCAGAGCATTATTCTGAAGAGTGATGTTGAAATCATGTAAAACAGCTTAGAAGCAACTAAAAGCTCCACTACAAAGTAATCCCTAAGCAGTAGATCAGTATCTTGACAATAAGGTATTTCTAGATCCAACCGATAGGTTACAGTAGTCTACTCGACAATGACTATAGCCAAGAATGTATTGAAGTACGTTATCAGTGAAAACAAAGTCAGGGCTGATACTAAAAATAACGGCGAGAAGCAACAGCTTACCAAATCAAGATGTTTCACCAAAGTTGTAATAAAGCAATAACAGATATTATGCTATTAAGTTGATCTAGGCCGATTTCGGAACACAATAGTTGACAACACGGGATGACAACAGTCAACGCCCCTATCTGATTTGAGCCACAGATTCAAACGATGCTCAACAATTCCAATAAGTTTCTAAGCATTGTTCTATAATTGCATCCAAGTAGTGAAATTCCCTGAAGCAACCAAATTTCTTCCACCATAAAGCAACCCAAATCCTTCAAAACCCTCAAAACGGAGACAAAATTATTCAATTTTAGAGATTCAGAGCAAATCAATTACCTTCGGTTCAAATTGCATCCCCCAAACCTCAGAAGGAGGAGCTTCCAGAACAGCAATGGTAGCATTAGTGTCAACATCAAAGACGCGGACGAAGCTATCGAGCGAAGAAGATGCCGCAATTATCCCTGAAGGATGCGCCGCCACAGCTGCTACTCCCAATGAGTGTCCGGTATTAGTCCGCACAAGATCCAGCTCGTCCGCTCGCCATAGCTTCACCGTCTCGTCGAGAGATCCAGTCAGAAGTAACGCCGGTCGATCTTCAGTCGCCGGAACCCACGTCGCCGCCCAAACTGAATCTTCATGTGCGTTCTCGATCGATTTCAGACCTGCGAGTTTCATCTTTTTTCCCTTTTAGGTTTTTACTGTGTTTCAAAGTGAACAAGAAGAAGCAAAAGACCCAAATTTGAAAGAGTGACTCTCTCTGATTCTCTTGTCACCCTAACACCGTTTCGTTATTTAGTTAGAAAATGGAAACTTGCGTCGTTTTTAGCAGCTGGAATCAATAGATTATTAAAACATCCTGCCGTTTCTTTGTCATTACTATAGGCCCATTAATATCGTAAGAGGCCCAACATCGATCTCCACTTAACTTTCTTCCTTCTCACTCACTCTCCCGCCGGCGTCAGCTAATTAGCACCGTTTAGCGGAGAAGAAATCTCTGGAGCCGCCACGTATCACTGATTCTACTACGACACCATCGCTTTCGCTTCTTCACTGTTCTTCCTACTTCTGTCTTCGTGATTCTTCTGTTATTAAATTTATAATAGATCGCGATCGCTTTTAGCTCTCTGTCTTTGGATTTTACCGGGGAAAGATGGGTGAAGAAGCTCGAGTTTTAGATATGGAGACCAGCGAAGAGAACGCGACGAGACGAAACCATCTCGTTAATGACTTGATAGTCGATTTATACCCGCTTAGCAGCTACTACTTCGGTTCGCGAGACGCTCTTCGCGTCAAGGACGAGAATATCTCTGATCGTGTCGACAGATTGAAATCGAAGTAATTCTAGTTTTCGAATGATTTTGATCATCTGGGTTTTTATCTTTTTGTTATTATGTAGCTAAATTTTACTTCTTTTCTCATGAAGTTACGCTGCTCATGGACTGAGGACTTGCGTTGAAGCTGTTCTTCTGGTAATTTTAAGATTGATAGCAAAATTAGGGATTTTGGAAAATTTACAGAGAAAAAATGGGTTGTAACATTTAATGTTGAGATACATCAGGTAGAGTTGTTCAAGCATCCTCATGCTTTGCTTCTTCAATATAGAAACTCCATCTTCAAGCTTCCTGGTGGTCGTTTGAGACCTGGAGAATCAGGTTTACTTTACTGTTCCGTAACCTCTTTATGCATCAATTCTCTGTCTCAAATCTCAGCGCTAAAAACCAAATTTCTCCTTAACCTATTAGATATTGAAGGTCTGAAACGCAAACTAGCATCAAAGCTTTCGATTAACGAAAATGTCGTTGTTCCGGGTTCGGAGGTAGGAACTATGGATTCTTGTCTTTAGTGGTTTCTTCTGATTGTTGCTACTGGTTTAAGAATTGGCTCTCTAATTACAAAATTGTTGTAGGTAGGAGAATGCATTGGAATGTGGTGGAGACCCAACTTTGAGTCATTGATGTACCCTTTCTTGCCACCCAATGTGAAACACCCAAAGGTTAGCTAATTCCACTTCCATGGTTATAAAACTTGAGACTTTTGAAGATTTATGCAAATACTTGAAGCTCTTCTCTATCCTCATTGTTTGTTCAGGAATGCACAAAGCTTTTTCTTGTGAGACTACCGGTAAATCAACAGTTTGTCGTGCCTAAAAACTTTAAACTCCTCGCTGTTCCGTTGTGCCAAATCCATGAAAATGAGAAGGTATGTAGTATCCTACTTGCATTTTCCTTACCTAGTCGTGAAATTTGAAGCGATGTTTCTTGTAAAACTAATAGAATCAGTCAATCAAGCCGCCGTGTTGTATACATCAACGATATTGATGTTTCGTTCATGCGTTGCAGACTTATGGGCCGATCATATCGCAAATTCCCAAGCTTCTTTCGAGGTTCTCTTTCAACATGATGGAGTTATGAACAAACGTCGTGATCATTGCCTCTCTAGTATCTCTTGTCTCGCGATCTCGAATTTGCGACGAGATTATATTGTTTGGTGAAATCCGTTTTTAGGCCTCTGCGACGATATAATGTATATATGTACGGATGTGGTAAAAGCTTGTTCTTGTTGATTAGAGAATAGACATGAATTATAATGATAGTGGTGTTAATTGATAGATAGATTTACTCGAAACGATTTTTCTTTATGCGTTTGATTGTATTGTAAGTGTAATTGAATTTATACATGTGTAAACAAATAGAGATATGTATGGGTTATTTGTATTTTCTTATAAATAAAGGTATAAGAACATAACAGTGTTTGCGTTTGAGGATTATGAATTTATGTTATATGCAAATAATGTAATTTGATAAAAAAAAATAAAAATGAAATGCTGTAATGTAATCTCATCAATGCTAGTGTCAGTTTTGCGTTTGCGTTTTGCGTTTTCCAAGTACATAGTGTGATAGTATTGTATCATGAGTTAACCGATTTGTGTTCCGGTTAAAGTGGGTGATTTTAAGGTTCGGTCGAAGAAAACCGGGGAAAAACAAGTAAATGGAAGAAAACTGGAAAGTAATGGTCGAAGTCGTTGGTCAACGTCGTGAGCATGTGCTTGACTGATATTTATTTTTTGGCTTTCTTTCCCATTTCTCGCTGCTGACTAGTTTATGACGATATATAATGACCGAGTCGAGAAGAAAAGGAAGAAGCTCAAGGAAGTAGACAATGAAGAAAGGTGGATTTAGCAATAATCTCAAGCTCGCAATTCCGGCTGCTGGCGAGCAATCCATCACCAAATTCTTGTATCTACCTCGATTCTCTCTCTCTCTCTCTCTCTCTCTTCACTTTCTCGATAGATCTATGGCGTTTCTGTGTGCGGAAATGTCTCTGGTGTCTTTTGGGGGAGGAACTTAGGTTTTCTCTTCTTTTCGTAGGACGCAGAGTGGTACTTTCAAAGATGGAGATCTACGAGTTAACAAGGACGGAGTTCGAATCGTTTCTCAATCGGAGCCTGAAGTTGTAAGTCTTTCCTCTCCCTTTCTCCCTCTCTTTTTTTTGATCGGTTTTGATTTTCTACTAAATTTGGCGAATTTGGTACTGCGAATGAAGATTTTGCTGAGTGTTAAGGTTATGTGGAAAATGTGAAAGGGGTAAATTCGACTGGAATGTAGTTGTTTGGATCTGATCATAATTTGGAAACTTACAAAGATCGTTACTGTAATTTACACATCCAAAAGCTCATGTCTTGTTATTGATTGCTGTTGGTTAATCTGTCTCGTTGTGATTTTGTGTGTGTGTTGTTTCAGCTGTCTCCAATTAAGCCAGCGGATGATGAGTTGAGCTTGTCGGATTTGGACATGGTTAAGTTCCTTGGAAAAGGAAGCAGTGGTGTTGTACAGTTGGTTCAACACAAATGGACTGGCCAATTTTTCGCCTTGAAGGTACCCTCATAGAGTCGATATATAATGAGCTAATTTTCTTATCTTTTTTTCTCTATATGTGAAGAATTACAAATCTCTTTCGAATCAGTTTAGAACTATATACATATGTACCAAATCTTAATCTCTTCCTTGCATGACTCTGATGCTATATAATCAGGTAATTCAACTAAATATCGATGAAGCAATTCGCAAGTCAATTGCACAAGAGCTGAAGATAAATCAGTCGTCACAGTGTCCATATCTTGTTAACTCGTACCAATCATTTTACGACAATGGCGCAATCTCACTAATCTTGGAGTACATGGACGGCGGATCTCTAGCAGACTTTCTCAAATCAGTTAAAACCATCCCTGAGTCCTATCTTTCTGCCATCTTCAAACAAGTAAGAACACACAGGAAAACCAGGTCCAGCATCCATCGGTTTAGATATGTGATTTCTTGGAATATGTGTTAATACAGGTGCTTCAGGGGCTGATCTACCTTCATCACGATAAGCATATCATCCACCGTGACTTGAAACCATCCAATCTGTTGATCAACCATAGAGGAGAAGTCAAAATCACTGACTTTGGTGTGAGTACCGTTATGACAAACACCGCAGGTTTAGCCAACACGTTTGTCGGGACTTACAATTATATGTCTGTAAGTATCTCTTTCCCTGTTTAGCAATATCTAGTTTGAAACCATTTGAGGAATGTTATAACAACACAATATGTTAATGTTGCAGCCAGAGAGAATCGTTGGTAACAAGTACGGTAATAAAAGCGATATATGGAGCTTGGGTTTAGTAGTGCTTGAATGCGCAACAGGAAAGTTCCCTTATTTACCTCCGGATCAAGAGGAAACATGGTCCAGTGTTTTCGAGTTGATGGAAGCCATCGTTGACCAACCACCACCTGCTCTCCCTTCAGAAAATTTCTCCCCTGAGTTATCTTCATTCATCTCCACATGGTAATCTCTCGAAAACAAAATCTCGTCTTTGTTTTACCTGGATGATAAATTAAAATGTTCTTCTCTGCACTCTCTTTTAGTTTGCAAAAGGACCCGAACAGTCGAAGCTCTGCAAAGGAACTAATGGTTTGTTTTTATTATATAATCCATTTTCCATCTTTTTTGTATCCAATTCGAATGTTGAAATCATTCCTTGTGGTCGAAAAACTTTTCAGGAACATCCTTTCTTGAACAAATACAATAACTCGGAGATCAACCTCGCGTCCTATTTCACAGATGCAGGATCGCCACTCGCAACACTTGGGAATCTTTCCGGTACGTTCTCCGTTTAAACTCCGGGGAGACAATAGTGTCATCATCTGGTGGTTACTGTTATCATCTGAGATTTATTTGTTTTAACTTCCAGTTAAAAATTATCTTGATTATATAGATTTATAAATTTGTGTTGTTGCGGTATTCCAAAATTATAGATATATGAGCAAACATGAGAGTGCTTCTTGAGGATTTTTTTTTTTTTTTTTTTTACTTGAAACTCATTATTTGTGATACTTTGGATTGGAATCTTATGGGAAATAAAGAAGATCATTTCTAGTGTTTTTTCTAATGTTTTAAAATCGACTCTGTTCTCTTCTCTTCTCGACCTTTTTTTTTTAAAAGGTTCAGCTTATGTTTCAATATGTAGAATCAATTCACCCTTGTTTAGGTGTGGTTTATAATATATACATACTTCAATTATAGTGACGTTATTAATTTTAGTGACAAACGTTTCGATGTGAGAACTGATATTCCATTAAGAAAATGTGAAATGCGTTAATACAGTTTAATAATAAAAAACAGAATGGTGTAGATATTAAGGTGATGATTGAATGCTGAAGCCTAATTGATCATCAAACTCAAACGGACTAAGTGGCGGGAGAAAACAAAAAAAAAAGCTAGACGACTGTTTCTTTCTCTCAAACATAAATTTCATTAATTTATTAAGATTACACTCAAAATTAACTAGTTTAAATACTCGGTGGCTGTATATCTGCCAACGATGATAAATTTGGTAATGCTTATTAAAATATTCTAACAAACCTGAAAACTCAATAAAAAGAAAATCTATAAGAAAGAGCTAATTTGCTGGAGGCGGCGTCGGACGTGGGTGCGAGACCTTTCGGAGCACACGAGTAGTGCTTAGCAATGTCATGCACTGCTTCAAAAACTATAACAACAATAATCCAAATTTTTGTAATGAAAATGGTATATTAAGTTTTTAATATTTTGTAACACGTCTTTGAAAAGTACCGTTTCTATCCAGATCATTTCATCCACCATAGCTGCGAGAAGCTTCAGTTTCGACTTTCCCTCTCTTAACGGTTATGAATCGGCGCTGCGATAAGCCGCCGCCATTGGCAGTTTCCTCCAAGGGGAAGAAGAAGCATTTTGTCAATCACACAGCTCCCAACACTCCCGGAAATTACGAGAGGACTCAGACCAGCCCGACGTTGTCCACGGCTCGATCGCACGAACCGACGGTCGATTCCGATGATAAGCTCAGCTACGAGATCTTCTCCATTCTCGAGAGCAGGTTTCTCTTCGGTTACGAAGACCCAAGGCTATTATGGATTCCTCGTAGCCCATTACGACCCGGTGATTCCGAGGCTGGACCTTCTCCGAGATCGCCGTTGACTCCCAACGGCGTCGTTCTCCCGGGAACGCCGTCATCGTTCAGGAGTCCGAGAGGGAGAATCTGCGTTTTGAGCATCGACGGTGGCGGGATGAGAGGGCTTTTGGCGGGAAAATCCCTAATCTATCTCGAGCAAATGCTGAAAGAAAAATCCGGCGATCCAAACGCTCGAATCGCCGATTACTTCGACGTCGCAGCCGGATCTGGAGTCGGCGGTGTATTCTCGGCGATGATGTTCGCGACTAGAGACGGTAACCGTCCGATTTTCAAGGCGGAGGACACGTGGAAGTTCCTCGTGGAGAACGCCGAGGGGTTTTACAGATCAGGCGGAGGAGGAGGTGGAGGTGGAGCCGGAGCGGCGATCAAACGGGTCATAAGATCCGGATCCTCTTCGTCTTCCTCTTCTTCAGTAACCGCCGCAACGGCGAAGCTCGAGAAAGCCATGAAAGCTTCATTCGCCGATCTGACGCTCAAAGACACACTGAAACCAATCCTCATCTCTTGCTACGATCTCTCCAGCACGGCGCCGTTTTTATTCTCACGCGCCGACGCGCTCGAGAGCGACAGTTTCGATTTCCGTCTCCGAGATATCTGCCGTGCCACGTGGGCAGAGCCAGGCACGTTCGATCCGGTTCGCACGTGCTCCGTCGACGGGAAAACGCGGTGCGTTGCGGTTGGAGGTGGACTCGCGATGAGCAATCCGACGGCGGCGGCGATAACGCACGTGTTCCATAACAAACAGGAGTTCCCGGCGGTTACGGGAGTGGAGGATCTGTTGGTGTTGTCGCTTGGGACTGGTCAGCTTTTTGAGGTGAATTATGACTACGAGCAGGTCAAGAATTGGCGGGTAAAAGAATGGGCTAGGCCCATGGCTCGAATCTCTGGTGATGGATCCGCTGAGTTTGTTGACCAGGCCGTTGCTATGGGCTTTGGGCCGTACCGGAGCACTAACTACGTTCGCATTCAGGTTTTTTTTTCTTTTTTTCTAAACATTTTGAGTTTTTTTTGGATGAAAAGATCATTAGAAAAATACATTGTGGTGCAGCAGGCAAACGGATCGAGGTTAGGAGCTTGTGGGCCGAACGTGGACACGGATGCAAGAGCAGAGAATGTGAAGAAACTGACGGAGATAGCTGATGAGATGTTGAAGCAAAACAATGTGGAATCGGTTTTGTTCGGAAGCAAAAGGATCGGAGAAATGAGCAACTCAGAGAAACTAGAGTGGTTCGCGAGTGAGCTTGTGATTGAGCAGCAACGACGAAGTGTTAGAGCGTCTCCAACTGTGACGCTAAAGCAAGCTGTCTCCAAAACCAACCGCAACGCTATAAACGCAACCCTCACTCTCATATCTAAAGAAAGATGAAACGCCTTTAAAGACTTGTTTTTTTGGTGCTTTTATTGGTCTTTTCTATCTATTTTTTGTTTCACCGGTGAAATTTTCATTTATAAAAGAAAAATGAAGGGAATTAGACTGCAATTCAATATAGAAGTCGTAAATTTCATATTTTGGAAGAAGTCCGTTTGGAATTTCAGTGATTTGAATTGAAGTTTGATAGATAGAGCCCGAATATTATCTTATCTTCTCCAAGTTGTTAGATTTTTTTTGGTTTGAAAAAAAAAAATGCCAATTAATCGTGTTTTGACAATATGTCGTTACAAACTTTTGTGTTTTCTTCTGGTGAGTGAATCAGATTGTTAGATCATTGAACTGTGTCTGTTCACAAAGATCTAATTTAAAGTTCAGAACTCGGAAGTTTAAATTCTCCTCTGTCCTGAATCTTTCTACAGAAGAAACTGTAAATTTACAGACGAACTAAAATTAAACATGTATAAAACATAATATTGTGACCTGGTTCATGCACTCTAAAGCTAAATTTTATTAAGGAACATAAAATGTATGTACAGAGGCAATAATGGTTCTGAGGTTATGAAACTACAAAATCCCAAAGATTAAAGAAGAAGAAGAAGAGAGAAGAAAACTTGCCACTTATCTATATATCACTACACAACATTACTATCACTCTTTCTTTCCTGAAATTTAACTACCGACCTATCTTAACCGCCGGAGCAAATTACACCACCCATCACCAATAAACAAAAACAGTTTCACCACCCCCGAGTAATCCAACTATAAGAGAGAGAGAGAGAGAGAGAAAACCCTAAAAGATGATGATGAACAAGAAAAATAATCTATGTCGCCTAGTTTGTTGGAGCCAACCCGAATAACCGGTTTCTGGTGACTGGTTATTCTTTCTGGGGACCAAAACTTTTTTCCCCCCTTTTTCCTTATCTTTCTTCGTCTCTAATGGTATAACAGACGGGGACTATACAGAAATGAAGATAGAGAAGGAGCTTATACCATCATGTTTAAGTCTGAAAGGTCATCCATTGGTATTTGAAGTCCAAGGAGATCAATATCGTTATCTTGTAATGCATCGTCATCGATGTTCAACCATGAGCTTAGATCTCCTGCTTGTGTATCGAAATCATCTGGACCACCTAAACCGTCTGGTATCTGCAGGTGAGATAGGTCAAGAGGCTCTGACTCGTCCAGTGTCCCTAAGTTACTAAACTCGCTGTTGTTGCTGTTAGTTGGTTTGGACAATGACGTTCTGGTTTGCTCCAAGATAGTGACAGAAGAAGAAGAAGAAAACATCGGAGTTGTTTTGTGCCTCGGTTTTGTTTTCGATTTCCGTTCACCCTTGGCATTGGACAGTGCAGGCCGACCAATCTTGTTAGTTCCTCCGCCTCTTGATGAAGAAGCCTGTCCTTTTCCATCTCTGTCCCTGTCACTTCTCCTTCCTTTTGTACTGCTTGAAAGTGGTACCCCACCTACATCATCAAGCAGCAACTCTCTCTCCTTCATTCGATTTGACCACACCGTTTCATCTTTCCCTTCCCGTAAAGCATTTTCAGAAGAGTTAGCATAATTATCCGAGTTCTGCGTCATTCGCAATGCCAATGACGAGCTTGGTTGTGGTGCTGCCAAAAAGAGAAATTCGAGTTAATAGAGAGTTTGGGGATTTAAAAACATAGTTTACTGTTCTGTTAGGCAAAAACGATATCATACTTGAAGCTGATAGAATGTCTTCCTTGTCCGCGGGATTATCTTCAATTTGTGTCAACCCGGTAACGAGGATATTCTTAAAAGTAGACTCACTGAAGCAACTTTTTCCTGTCTCTTCGAATTGACGACATCTTCCTAGCGTCCTTTTCACGAAAGCAAATGCAGCCTGCTTTGATATCTTGTTAGCCGAACTCTTTCCACTTGCGGAGTGATGACGGCGACTTGCCTGTAAAACAAAATCCATATAAACTTAAGGACTGAAAAAGCGAACAAAGCTGACAAGTGAACACAATTAGGAAAAAATAGATGAATTTACCTTGCTCTTTTCATATGCCATTTCGATGAGTTTTTCATAACCGAGCCGATCAAACTCCCTAAGTAAAGAAAAAATTATCAGAAACACCATTAGATCACAGTCCGTATCATTAAAGGCGTGCAAGAAATCCAGAAGAAAGACAAATTCATACTTCTCCTGAAGTTCTTTCATTTCTTTGGCGGGCTTTAGTAACCGACTCAGCATCTCTTTCTTCTTGGAACCCTTCAGTTTTAAGATAGACAATATCGCAAAGTTAGCTATCTTGAGAACACAGTAGTAAACATGAAAAATGAACAAGATATTTCAAAGCGACAAGAAGTCATTATTTGACAACGTTATGATGTTGGAAAGAAGATAAGAACACGTGAGAAAACATACCACTTCGCGGATAGCCTCCTCTAACGTTTTGATCTCGTCAACTATTCCTTCATCCTCCATGTTTGAAATACTAGGCTGCAGAAGAAAAAAACAACGACAACACATCAATCCGCTAGGAAGTATAGCAACCCGAGTCCAAATCCAATAGCATCAGCAGGCAACATTTGAGAAGTAATTGAACTCCTGGGGAATATACCATGGGTTCCAAGCATATTCCAATAGATTGAGCTTCCAAGTAAATCTTCTCATCTATCCCCAAAGTTTCATATTGAATGTCTGAGAAGTCAGTGGATAGATGATCAGAAAATCTTCCATTGACCTTGTCGGCTAAGCTTTTTTCACCCTTGAACGGGATAACAGAGACATCATCTTCTAGTTCATCAAGTTCCAGCCTATCACTCCTATAACCATTGAACTCCACCATTTGATTCAAAACACTGAATTCTGACTCAGCATCGGCTCCAAATCCATCAAATTGCATATCTTCATTTTCACTGATTGAGTCCTCTGAGATTAGAGCTGATAGTAATCTCTGATAAAGGGGCGCAGCTTTAGATTCCACTCTGCTGGTTGTAAGTTCCTCGGGAAATATTTCACGACCATCGAATTCTGAAGATGTCCCGACTGGTGTAGTACCCATGGGGGAGGGTTCAACCTGAAAGAGAAAATGGTTATGACATTTTTTATAAAAATGAGGAGTCGACATATTAGAGCTGTAATAATCTTTACAAAACTGTGGGAAGGCAAACCTCACAAGACGCATACTCTACTGCGAAAGAACCAAAAAAAGACTCTATCATCAGATCACGTAACATCACAAATCTACACACATTTCCTACCCTTTCTCACATTTTTCCCTTTCCCTTGGGACCAATGAAAACAATCTATATACACACGCATAATGAAATCTGCACCTTAGTAATCCCAGCAGTCATGTAAACCCCAGCCCACTAGACCACTATGCAGGACGTAGAACGCAAGTAGTATAAACCGATTCAAGTAATATGCATATGCACAAACATATACAGATAATCTGTCACATCCTTGAAACTATGAGGTCTGAAGTATATAATCCATGTCTTATGAAATGCAGAAAGACGAATTACCAGCTCTTTCAAGAAATTGATATGTGCATCAGATATAAAGCAAAAGTAGCGCTCCATTTGCTTCCAGAAAGAGCTCGGAAAATTCTGAGCTGCATCAGAGAACCAAACCAATTATTCTAGATAAGAAAATCTGAAAAGAAAACCAAAACTAAACATAAACGAGAACCACGAATACTTACCAAAGCTTATAGCCGAGTTAACAGCGGCTAGTAGCTCTTCATGCCCATCATCTGAACCAACTAAGAAAATAAGAGAATTTTCTTAAATAAAAGAAGAGAAGTAAAATCAATCATGCCAAAGAACAAATCTGATTAACTGAACGTACCAAGAAAATCTAGTGTTGTAGCATTTGTCGCTGTAAATTTCTGACGTTTGTAAGCCTTGCGGTCAGAGAGTTTCCTAGTGGGTGGACGACCTGCCCTACTGCAGAGAGCACATGTAAAAAAGTAGGAGATAAGCCTCATGAAACCCAAAAACTTGTACACATACCTAAAAATCGGAAAAGAGAAGTACTTAGAAACAGGATATCTTACCTTTCATTCTTGTCAGAACTATTTCTTGCACTACGAAGTTGTTTTGCTGTTCCATGTTTCATTACTCCCATTGGGTTTACAGACCTTGTTGAACCAAAGCCACGACCTGTCCTTCCTTGTCTCCTCACACCATCACCAAGCTCTTCTCCAGAGACAAGCTTGTTTTTTCTTGATTGTAAGCCAGTGATGGAGAGTTTAGGAACATTCTGAAAAGCTTTCCCATCGACCTCATCAGATTGCTTTCCCTTGTCTTTAGATTTGATCTCAGGGGGGCTAAATTCTTCACTTCCTGATAAAGCTGTTGTAGACAAGCTATTTTCACCTTTTAATTTCATTTGAGGAGAAGCCGCTGGCGAGCGTCTATGAAATCCAAAACCTGTTTCACTACAACCAACATCTGACATGTTATCTGACGAAGGAATATCGTCATTGCTTGAAACAATGGGGACCAAGTTCGTTCTCCTTGCAACACGGGATATCTTTTGTGGTCTTTGACTGGCCCATTGAGTGACAGGTGGTGATGAAGACCGATTTGATGTCATGCGCTTGCGATTAGGAACCCCAGACAGTAATGGAGGTTTGTTTGTACAACCAGCAATATCCCAATCACTTGGAGAAGGAGTGTTATGGACAACCGGAGAAAGTTTTGGTGGCAGCCCTGATCCCGATCTCGGACCACGAACTGAAACATTTAATTTTGGATTTGAAGTTGGGCTTGAAGAATTGGATTCATCCTGAATATCTGACCTGAAAAGAACCCAGTAGAGATTAACAAGCATATCAAAAATTCATCAGAAAGAACACAGGCTAGAAAAATTGACGAATGAGATCTGCCGAAAAATTGACAGGGGTACTTAAGAATGTGAGTTTGTTTACACATACTTGTTGATAGCCCTCAGATTCACCCTATCCTTATCTGAAGCAATTGTTCGTTCTCTCTTCTCATTGTACAACGAATTGTGATCGGAATCCCTGGAG